CTACTTTAGAGAGGTGTCACAACCAACCTCCAGGCTGTCCCACAAGCCCTCTGAAATACTACATCACCAGGGTGTACAAATCCACAACCCACCTTGAAGACCAGGTAACATCACCCGCTGGAGCTGGCCAAAGATGCTCCTGCAATAAAGGGGTGATGCTCATGAACCAGACAGGCAGCGGCTGTGCCCACTGCACAGTCCAGCCCTGCCCAGACCACCAGCCTCTCCAGCACTTTGGAAAGTGCCCCTCAGGTAGTTGTGGTGCTGCAGGCACGTCCATGGCAGGAGCTTGAAGATGGGTGGTGTGCACCTGGCACCCCAAAGGCTGTGAGTGCTTCTGGGGTGGGGTGGCTGCACTCCTGGCTGCCTGCCATCCCAACAATGGCTTCACCTTCAGTTCTTCCAGGCTATGCATCCTGCACGTGGCAGTCCGCAGCGTCAGAGGGGACAACAATACAGAACCAAGAGCAATTGTACACAGAGGAAAGTTTCTTCTCCAGGGGCTGAACATCACCCAGCAGCAGCTCGGATCTCCCCAAGCAGAGGGCTTCTTACAGGCAGGGCTAGCAGGAGCCAGAACCTAGTGCCCAAGCCAGACTGCACCCCAAACTCACATGGAAGCTCAGCTGCCCCTCCTCCAGTCCTTTAAACCTCAGCTGTTCACTGAAGACAGTAGACAAAGGTCCCCAGGCTGGGCTCTCTCCACTGCATGACCTAAGCGTACTCACAGGAACAAAGAAAAACAGGTACAAGCTGAGAAAGCTCCTTTGTAGGAGCCTTTGAGGGGCTCTGCCTTCCTCTGGTGGGGGGGAAACACACAGAAGATGGTCTTTTAACCAGATCAGCTGCACAGCTTGCAACTGCCTCCATCGTGCAGGGGTGAGCCCTGCCTGCCTCCCTCGCATGCAGCTGCTGTCCCGGGTCGCCAGCGGCAGGACCCAGGCTCCAACGCTGCAGCCAGCCAAACACTGACATGCTTGAGATGGGGAAGACACAACCAGCAAGGGAGATGTCAGGGACTGAGGTCCAAAACTATTTATTGAAACAAAAAGGATAGAAAGTTCACATGAAACCAAAGCTGGACACACAGGAGGAGGGATGCTGCTTTGTCAGGTTTCTTAAAGGGTCACTGTATTTCTGATCTTTTGAACAGCCTCTTTGTCCTATTCCATAGGATGCTACTTTGGGAAGGTATGAGGGTTTCTTTCCTCCACTGGAGTGGCATAAAAATAAATCTGTCAACTCATATTATATACATATGTATGGGCTGTATTTATTTTCTGTGGGAAAATATCACTCTATTGGTAATTAAATTATCATACTTATTTTCTTTATCTTACTGAAAACTTTTTTTTTTTTTTACAGTAAATCTGAAATCTTCTCCTTAGGTTAGGCAGCTCCACTACTTATCTGCAATCTTTTTAGGCACAGATGCAAGGTATGGCTTATATGCCAGCCGGCTCCTGCTGTTTGAGAATGACCCTCGCTGCCTGTTCAGGTACTTCAGACCTCATCACCCAGGAGAAAAACTGCTTATCAGCCAACCTGAGCACGTCATATACAGTACAGCAAAACCCAGGGTGTTTGCTACAGAAGGCCTAATCTGGATCCTAACAAATGGGAACACCTGGGACACAAGGAAACCTGGCGGTGGGGCAGGACCAGTGCAACACAAGAACACAAGTCAGGGCTCACTTTCTTTATAAAACAGGCAATATCTGTACAACATGGCCACAGCCACAGGTGCCTGGCTGGGATGGCAGGAAATTTAATACCAGAGGTGAAAACCTTTACTGTCCTTTTTTTTTTGGACACACATGCCTTGCATCTGTGTTGGATCATGCATGTAATTGCAAAGCTTTGGTGAAGCTGGAGGACGTTAGCCATCAGAAACCCGCCTGTCCTTTGGGGCGAGAGCTGCCTTCCACACACACTGTCGGGGAATACCAAACCATGGGAGCCAAGCAACAGCCATGGAAGCAGCCTGGGTTTCCAAAAGCCTGGCAAAATGCACCAAAAAATGCACTCTGTTAATGGCAGAACTGCAAAGACTGGTGCAATGGAGAGCTCGCTCCCTGGCTTCTTGGCAAAGTGCAGGATTTGCCGCACGAACGTCACACCTTCAACACAACAGCCTGGTTGCCGATAGAGAGCAATCCTTTTTTTCTTTCCAGAGCCACAGTTAGTCTCCAAATGCCATTTAAAAGACAGCAGCAACCATAAAAAGCCCAAACATTTCGAAGTTTACTCCCAGTAAGATATGCAGGCAGGATGGGCAGACAGGCACCCCACCAGGAAAACAAGAGCAAGGAGGTCGGGTGGGTAGGATGGGAGATGGCAAGTAACAAATGTGCTCTAAGATCCTCTGAGAGCCACACAACTCTTGGACACCATGAGATAAAGACAAGGCTGCACACGCTGGCTGATCCACTTCACAGCCCAGCTCGCTCCCGTGCCCTGGGGAAACCTGCCCTCCAGCCCTGCTGCCTGCTACTGCCCTCCCTAGGCCAAGGACACCTCCACAGGACCGGTACATGGAGCCTCGGCAGGGGCAGGATGGTGGGGAAATTGATAAAAAAATAATTAAAAAAAAAAAGGCAAGAAAACCCAACCCAGCCAAAGCAACCAATGTCAAAAGCATGGTCGGGGGAAGGTTTGTTATCTGCAACTTGAAGGCAGCTCCTTCCCCAGGGAATAGTCGTGCTTTATCCAGTCCAGTCTTTCTCTCCTAGAGACAGAAGTCGCTGCTGGAGGCGTGAGGGTGATCTGGGAGCGCTTCTGCCTGACGGTGCGGCTTGCAGGGGGGAGCCGGGCTCCCCCCTAGCATCGGGCAGTCTCCAGGGAGTCCCATGGGAGTGCTGGGAAAAACACAGCTGCTTTCAGGCTAGGAGAAGAGAGAGAAAACAGAGCATTGAGGCATTTTGCAGCATTTTACTAGTACTGATCGGGCTGGTGCCTGGAGGAGGCTAGCAGGAGGGGAGCAGGTCTGCTCCTGCCCTACCACCCCTGGTGGTACAAGGGCTTAACAGCGGCCCCATACACATCCCCACACCTTCCCCCAGGTCTTCTCTCGCAAATGCCAACCTGTCACTTCACTGACAAGAGGCTGAAAGCACATAGAGGGCAAGTGCATCCAGCCTCCTGAGCTGGCACTAATTTTCACCTACTGACCTGCTAATTGACCTTGCAGAGCCTGACCAGGTATCACAGCCCTGCAGCTCACTCATGAAACACATCACGGGCACCTGGACTGCACCTGAAGCAAGCACCTGGGTCTTGCACCCTTACTCCACTCCTCCTGGCAAGCCAAAAACACGCCAGCTACATGAGGTGGCCACCAAGCTCTAGAGATGTGTCGGGGCTGTTCTTCACTGGTCCTACAAACTCCCAAATCCCTAGGCAGGACCAGAGTCAAGCTCTTCAACAGAGCTAGAAGGTGCCTGGTGTATTGAGTTGGAGGAGATGGAGAATGGGAGGATCTGAGGTGCAAGGTATGGCCTTCAGGAAGAAGCAGAAGATGCTTTGACAGCATCTGATGGCTCCAGCGGTTAACACAGAGATCCCTGTGAGACAGCAGGGCACCCTTCCAGTAGCAGAAGATGTCTGGCAGCAAGGAACAAGCTGCCCTGGGGACAGTACTCACCAGGGCAGAGCTGGGTAAGCAGGGAGGCAGGACAGACCCACCCTAGACATCTAACCCTGCCTTGTGGTGCCGCAGGCTGGGGAAGCGTCACTGCAGTGATGGGCTCCTCCAGGACCTAGACCAGCTCTCCATGCTATCAGCCCCAGCCCAGAAAGCTCATAGCCCTTACAGACATGCATGACATCTGCATCAGGGAGAGGGGCAAGGGGCCAGGCAGCTTTCTCTCCCTATGCCCTCCCCACGCAGCCCCAGTTTGGGCTGTTGGTCCCAATCCCAGGAGAGCCACTTGTAAGGACAGCCCTGAAGGGCACCATGATGCTCGGATCCAATGCTGCAGACCTTGCTTTGTGATGCTGGAGGGCTAGCAGCAGCCAGATGGGCTCTCAATAGGGGTTGTGCACAGGCCAGGGGACACTTCCACAAGGGGGAGATCTGCTGTATCATCATGTCTTTATCTCACACGTGCTTTGTACCACACTTCAAAGCTTATCAGTGCACAGCTGGAATTACTCCCTGTACAGAAATGGCAATTAAACAAACCACATGGAAATCAGACCCACAGACAGCCACCTTCTAAAGGGAAGAACCCACACTCTGCTCTCTTGATCTTCAACTCTTTGTGCAAAGAAAAGCCCCTAAAGTCTTCCTTTCTGGCCATGTACCAGCTAAAGCATGGCAATTCCTGTCTACTGACCGGGTAGCACGTGCCTCCCTGCACTGAGGCCCCCAGGAAATTCCAGCACAGAAAAAAACTGAGCACAAGAGTAGAGAGAAGCCCTTACCCTATGCCTGCTCTCCTGGCTCAGTGCAGAGGCATATGTCCCATAGGAGTTCATGGGAGTCTCCAATGGGCTGCTGATGCTCCTGAAGCGCTCTGCAGACAAGCTTGGAAAAGGGTGCTGGGGCATGGAGGGAACAGGGCTCGGCTGCTTCTCGGGAATAAGCTGGTATGAGGAGGGGGGCAAAAACCCAGAGTACGGAGCCTTCTCTGCCTGGGACGCCTCACTGCCTGCAGTTTCCATGCTGCATAATCGGTTCAGGTTAAAGTGTACCGCTGGCGCGCCAGGCCCTGGACTCAAGCATCCCTGGTGCTGGGAGATCAAGTCTTGGCTGATGTCATAAAAACCAGGCTGAGCTGGGGACCCCAGGAGTGGGCAAACATAGTCCTGCCACGGGCTGGGGCTGCTGCTGGGAAGGAGGTGTGAAGCGGAGTCAGGGCTGTGGCCGCACAACCCGTCCATCGGCAAGTGATGGTGTTTCAGCTGGCTGGGTGGTCCCACACGGCCCTGGCACTGGCTGGGCAGGGATAAGGACCGGCAAGCATCCTCTTGGGTGGGATGCATGACCGGGAAGTCACCCTCCAGCTGCTGAGCCCTGGCTGGCTCCTGCTGGCAGGGGGCTCTCCGGGGTGAGCCGGGCGCCTTGTCCCATGGGGTGCCCCGTGCCAGCTGGAGGAAGCAGAGCAGACCCTCCTCCCCAGCTGGCCTCCACTGCAAGCTATCAGATGGCTCTTCCTCCTCCTCAGCTGGCTCTGGCAGCAGCAGGGGTGGCTGCCCTGGCATGGCATGGAGGGGCTGTTCCCACAGCGGAGCAGGGGGCTGGCCTGGGGCAATGCCGGGCTGCACCACGTGCTGGGGCAGGCACTGCGAGCCATCATCCTCCATGTGGGCCTGGTACCTAGTGGTGCCTCCACATGGGCTCAGGGACATGCCTGGCAGGGGACAGACCTGTTGTCCTCCTTCGTGCTTGTTCACCAGAGTGGCGTGGATGTAGGAGAGAATCTCGTTGCTGGCGAGGCAGTCATTCAGGGACGGGGCGCGGTCAGAGTCCATATTGACCATCACCATTTTCTCATCCAGCAGCAGGAGCTCCAGGTCTTCAGCATTCAACCCCAGGTCTTCCAGCGCACTGAACAGCTCATTGTTGGAACAGCTCTCATCACTCTTAATTGAGAGTGAGTCCAGGGTGGCCAAGAGAGGGTCCTCCTGCTGCAAATCCACCAGCTCCTCTTTGAGGCTGTCACTGCTTGAAGAACCTGGAGCAGCGCTCATACTCCAGGCATCTCCTGCATCCAGCAAGGACACGTCCTCGAGGTGGTCCGTGAAACTGCTGCTGAAGGAGTGGTTAGGTGTGGGAGCTGGATGGGAGACGTACACCGCCTTGTTCTGTCGCATCACGGCACCCAGCAGAGAACTGGGGTCAACGCCATCCTTCTGGGAGCACCCTTCATGGCTGTGGGAGGTCTTCTTGGACTTGGTTGTTTTCCCTTTGCTCTGGAAAGGGTCAGGGAAGCCCGGGAGAGGGTAAGCACTTTGGTATAAGAGTGCCTCTCCTGTAGCAAAGGTAAAGGGAAGATGCATGGATCGTTTCCGAAGGTGCTCTCCTCCTTCTTCATCTCTGCAGGGCAGGAAGAGGAGACTGGGGCTTGTATATGCACAAACACACGCCGCAAACTGCTTCTGCAACAGATAACTGTGATTCCTGCAAGCCAAAGCCCCTTTGCTACGACCAGCATCCAGGTACCGAGCAGAACCACACACATATCATAGAATCATAGAATCATTAAGGTTGGAAAAGACCTCTAAGATCATCGAGTCCAACTGTCAACCCAACACCACCATGCCCACTAAACCATGTCCCTAAGCGCCTCATCTACATGTCTTTTAAATACTTCCAGGGATGGTGACTCCACCACTTCCCTGGGCAGCCTCTTCCAATGTTTAACCACTCTTTCAGTAAAGAAATTTTTCCTCATGCCCAATCTAAACCTCCCCTGGTGCAACTTGAGGCCATTTCCTCTCGTCCTAGTTATATACATAAATATATACATTTATGTATGCATTTACGTACAAATACACACACACATACATATTTTATATATACACGCACAAAGAAACACACATCTGTAGTATAACCAAGAGGATACTTAAGATGCAAAGGGTAACAGAGCTCTGCCAGACAGAAGCCACACCTTTGCCCTGCTCATCTATGCTGCAGCCACCCCTTAGGACAGGGATGTTGGGCTACTGCCATGCAGCAGCCACATTTGAGGTCCTTGCTGTTCCTGCACCCACCTGTTCCTACAGCTGCTGAAGAGCAGCCACCAGTCTCCCCAGGCTAAGTCTGCACTGGTGCCCAGGACATCGGGGCAGGGATGTGAGGTGCAGGGCACTACTCAGTGCTCTCCTGCACTTGTGGGGTGGCCTTGCAGAGGGGGATGTGGCTGAACAGCATCAAAGCACACTATCCTATGGCTGCTGCTTTAAAAGGCACAAGCAGCAATGACAAATCAAACGTCCTGCCCTGCTTGGGGCATCCTAGAGCCCACACCGATGGAAAAAGCCAGCCTGTCCCCATCCCAGCCTGGGCTGACCCAGATGGCACTTACACGAGGGGTCTCTGCGTGACAATGATGTACTCGGGCTTGCCATTCTTGTAGACGAGCCGTGCATTGGCCTGCACCCACTTCCAGCGGTTCTCCTTTGTCAGCAGGCGGAAGACCGTCAGGCCGCTCTCGCCCGTCTTCATCACTGCCAGGAGGAAGCACATGTGCCGAGGGCTGTCAGCACGTCACCAGAGGCCGGGCTGCCTCCAGCGGCGCTGCCATTTCCAGCCAGGATAAGCAGGTGGGGTCACAGCAGTAGCATGGCTGGCACATGCAGGGGACACCATCCCAGCTAAATACTCTTCACTACACACCACCCCAAGCTCCCTGCAGTGACAAGAGCATCACAGCAAGGCATAAAGCAAAGCATCCTACGGAGAAAGAGCTGCTGGGCTTGACACAGCAGCCAGTGGAGCTGCCCATAGCCCAGCCCACTCATCAGCCTCAGAGGTGGGCATGAGGGACCAGGGAAGGGACTCTTACTCCTGACGTGGTTCTCAGCACAGTACAGCATGTCAGCAGCATGGACAAACTGGTAGCCGGTGCCACACATCCGCAGCTCCGCCTCGGTGTAGCCCAAAACAATCTTCCCCCTGTGGGAGAGCGAGAATGCACCCAGCTCAGAGGCAGAGCCGCAGCGGGACATCACCCAGGCAGGGTATGGACCAACATGCTGGAAGCCTGCAGCAGTGCCCCTCAAATCAGCTGTGCTGCTTACTTGGCATCGCACGCCAAGGGGGTGAAGTCCAGCTTGTGCTTCGTCCTGAAGATCATGTTCTTGGTTCGGATCTGCAGGATGGACGGGGGCTGCAAGGGGGTGGAGATAGCGAAGAGGGCGAGCTGGGGTGGCAGTGCAGACCCGTCTTCAGACCTTTTGTTCTGCCCGTGAAGGAATTTCAGCCTGCCTTGAAGGTTTAAAGCCTGGGAAGAGAAGAAAAGTTGAGCGTCACACAGGAAACTGGGTGGAGAGAGAAGAGAGGGAGGACATCTGCACAGAAAGCAAGCCATCTTGCTGCAGAGTTGATGCAAATAATCCCCTGCAACTTGTCGTTGCGATTCCAGTGCTCCCTACTAAAATAAGATGGAGGATCAAAGCGATGCTATGCTGAGCTCCCTGCAGCAGCAGCTCACTGCCTTCTCCCACTGCAGCCACTCACTGCCAGCCCGGGGTTTGGATGCACAGCAGCTGCAGGACCGAGCACATGCTGCAGTTGCATCAGGGCATTGCGCAATGCACGGGCTGCTTTGCATTTTAACTGAGCTATATCACAGCCCCATCAGGGATCATAGTGTTGCTTCTAAACAACAAACAACAACTTTTTCTTCATATTGAGTTTCCAAATTGAAGCAGGATGAGAGACAGAGAAACAGCACTGTTACACCTGTGGTTATGAAGGTGTTATGAAGGAACCCCATTAACTTGCAGCAGAGGGGAGGAGGGATGAACACCGCCTATTTGGTCGTAAGAGACACCTTTAACACAAAAACCTGGCAAAATGTGCGGAGGAAAAGCACTTTTGTTCAAGATTCAGCATCTCTGATAAGAGAGGAACAAAACCCACACAGAGAGGTTGTAGGTACAGAACAAACCTATGAAAAACAGCAGAAATATCTCCTTGTTGAGACAGGCAGGTGCCACACATGGCAGAAAGGAGCGCTGGGTCTTTCAAGGCCAACTTTTATGCTACAGCAGTGGCACGGACCCCTCAGTGTGAGCCTGCGCCCCTCCTGCTGTGGAGGTCGCAGAATGGGTCTGTACTCACCAGGAAGCCGGAGGAATTATCCAAGAGGCAGCGAAAGCGGCACACAAAGCTCCTTTCCAGAAAGGAAGAGTTTTCTGGGGGCAGCTGATCTGGCTTGTAGGCAACAGCAGAAGAGCCAAGACTCTTCCCCCCTGTAGGAGAGAGGGATTGGGAAAGGAGCAAGCAAGGATGCCCAGCGAGGGTTGGAGGCCCCAAGAAAGGGCTGGAGGTCCCCAGCATCGGGGACTGCAGCAGTTTGCAGAGCACAGCAACAGAAACTTGACTCAGGGAAAAGCCACAATGTTTGGATGAAGCCATGGCTTGAGCCACAAGGATGCAAGCCCCATGCAAGCGATGGCAGGGAGCCAGGCTCCTCAGTTTACATGGGGAGCTACACATCTCGTGCCAACCAGGATGCCTGGCTCCCAGCCTGCGTTTACCTTCTGCAGAAGGTGCACCCTCAGGAGCGTGGGGTGGGTTGAGTGCCCAGTGGAGGTTGCGGCTGAATTCCTGCTTGTACTCAGGGTCGATCCG